ATAGAAATGGAAATGTGATATTTACCAGGGGAAAGGAGGGTTTTGATGTGGAAAAATATAACTCCCGACCTGTTAGTTGTTAGATATGCTAAGTTCATGGTCTCACAACATCAAAGAATAAAATCACAAACTTGGAAAGTTAGAAAAGGTTTATTGGGAAGAAGAGAAGAACAGCTCATAGGTTTCCAGGAGGGATCACAAGTGGGTGGTCAGGGGTAATTTATACAGTAAAATCACAACATGGGTACAATGTGGGCCAGACTCCAACCAACATATAGGATTCCAAGTATAGTTGCCCAGCTAATACTAATCCCATAGGGAAATCAGTCACAGGGATAAATGGAAAGAACAAAGGAATTCTTAGAAAGGAGGGGAGTGTGTGTCCAGGTGTTTGGTCCCCCACCTGTGTGTCTGATGCCTATCTGGACCCACTGGATTGGGTGGCTATGGTTACAGTATGATCTCAAGCTTCTGCTTATCTCTAGGGATCCTCGTGGTCCTGGCCATTCCTTCTCCATCCTAAGGCCTGGCTTTCTTCAGGTTTGCCTCCCACCACAGTTCTGATGCCTTTATTTTTTTGTACTGACTTCCTTGAGGGTCTGATCCTTCTCTGACTGCACATTAATCTTTATCTAACTTAGCTGTCTATGCTCAGATCCATTTTTCTAATAATGTGATTAAATAAAATGAAACCAGCCTTCATGTTAGCAAATCCCGTAAAGAGGAAGTCACACTTGGCCTTTGATTGTCTTCTAAAGACTGAGAGGCTGGGCAGCCAAGAGCGCCATAAGCATAGCTATAGAAAGGGCAGGTTCAATATTTTGAAAGCTTGACCAAATTAAAGCTTTATTAAATTCATGAAAGAATCCACAAATCTCAGCTGACATCTCTTAATACTGCTTGAATTGCAGTTCCCGGTGAGGTAGTCCTTCCTAACCACATGGCTACTGCTTGCCCTTTGAGATCTCCAGCTCACCCAGGGAGATTGTGCCTGTCCTGTCTTTCAAGTTTCCTGTAGGCTGCCTCTTCTCCCCTCTGACAAGTACCAGACAAATATAATCCTTGAGGCAAAAAAATGCATTGCAGAGGTTGTCTGTTTCTGCAGCAAACTTGGCAGCCTAAATACACTTCAAGATTCAAACAAGCACGTGGATCACTTGGGATTGAGGTTTAAGTGCATATTCCAAGTCAGTAAGTCTCAGAAGGACCTTAGAGTCTGCATTTCTACCTCGAGGTCCTTGTTCTGAAGATCATACTTTGAATACCAAGGATCTGAAAGACCTGGTTTCAGATTCTGTTTTCTCACAGCCTCAGTTTTCCCTCTTGTAAAACACAGAGCTTTGGATCCTTTGTAATTCTGGCTGGCAGCAACAGCATGAGGCCTGGTGTGTGGAAGCCCTGGTGTGTCTGGTGTGCATGTGTTCTGAATTTTCAAAGATTTGCATTATAACGCCATGAAAATAAAACAAAAGTTGAGCTCAAATGAGGTAGAAAATATAGTCTGTACTCTGACAAGCCCAGTGTGATTATAGTTTTATTTACCTTGTGCCAACATTCAAAGGTGTGGCTTTAAATAAGTCATATGATCAACAAATAAACATGTACTGCCCTTCCACAAATAAGCTACCTGGGTGGCTTATTTCTTTCCATTGCTTGGTCAGTGGAAATTACCAAGTACCAATAAGTAACAAAGCATTGTCACAAAAGAGTATCACTGTTAGATCTTAAATGTAATTTTAACCAGAGTACAAGTGACGATAATATACCACTTAATATAACATTATGTTGTTGTTGTTGTAAACCTGCCAATGTGGAGGAATTCAAATCCATTTTGAAAACTTTCTTGTTTTTCAAGATCCCCAGGACATTCCCTTCTTAGTGAGATCTTCCCTGAGGGCCACCTCTGTTCTCTCTTCCCATGTACACCCCCTGTGGAGCTTGCACAGACTAGGCCTCAGATCACCTGGCTGTGTGTCCGCTTGTGTACTGATTGAGTCATGAGCTCCTGAAGCCATGCCAATGACTAGCATGAGAATGTAGGGACCTAGAGCCCAGAGACACTGACACATTCTTTAGCACTGTTTGCCCTTGTCAGGTGATCCCGTGTGGCCTGGCTGCTCCCCTCTGGCTTACTTTTTTATAAGCCACTCTCCGAATTATAAACTCCATTCTCTCCAGAGTCAAAATTCACAAATCTACAAGGCCAGGCTGTTATGCTAGGAGGAAGGCAGGAAGTCAGTGGTGCTTAGGGTACAAGGTGAGGACCTGAATTTTCTGAGCTTGCCCAGGTGCTCAGATCCATTATTCTTAAGCAGAACAAGGTTGAGGTAAAGCAGAATCTCTGACCCACACCTAAAGAGCCTCCTCTGTCTGTAACACCTGGCTCTTGATTTGCATATAATAGGTGTTTCCCATGTGAGCTCAAGAGAAAAAAACAGTGCTAATATTCAAAATAATTAATAACACGAATAGTCTGGGCACCAGAGCAGGTCTTTTGTAGCTCTAGTCATTTCCTAGTGCCTCAGACTTTAACTCTTTAGTTTCAGGTGAAAGGAAGGTCATGGAGGTCCCATTGGAAGATTCCATGAAGTCTCAGCTCCGAGAAAGATCTCCAAGTTTTAGTCAGAGGGTTATCATTTTGCCACCCTGATATGCCAGTTTGTATCTGATAGATGCAATTGCCTAATCTAAGCCTCGATTTCATCTGTGAAATGGGTTAGTAATACTTTGTAGGATTGTGGTGAGGATTACAAGAACCAAAGTATGATGCATTCTTCAAAGAATGCTTGACACAAACTGATGCTCACAGCAGGGACAATTGTTAACTATCATTAAAAGAAAGTCAGTGGGTGACTGTCAAATGCAGGCAGCTCACCTCTGTATCACTCTTGCTTTCTGCATAGAGTGAGGATGGGAACCACAAGAGGCCTTGGGTTAGGGTTGCTGCCCTGTCACGCTGTTTACCTTTGGGGTGGATGGGAGCTGCAGTATACAAGGGGCAAGGAAAAGCTTTGTTCCTGGTCCTGAAGACACAGAAAAGGCTTCTAAGTCTTTACATTGCCATAGCCACGGGCTGTGCCAAAGCCACAACAGCCTGCTTGCTGATTTTTAGGCACTTTCAAAGACACTGGCATGACTATGAAGACACTTAGCTACCAGTTAGCTTTTTGAGGCCTGAGTGGCCAACTTGAACCTCTTACCTTGTAAATAAGAGAGATGCTGCATATGCATTTCCCTGGATTAGTCTATCTGCATCTGCAACTCTCTCCACTGTGCCAGAGATACATTATTTAAACCACTGATGGACACGTATCTGGTCTCATGATATGAGTAATCTCTACTGAGAAGGATAATCTAGGCATAGTTGCATAGCTGTGGCCCCAAGAAAATTATACCCACCACACCCAGGCAAAGGTAGACCACACACCTCTGCAGTCTCCCAGTCTAATTAGAAACACCTTTGGTTTTGTCTGATGTTACAGTTATTCCCAGCATACACCACTCCCTGTAGCTCTGTGTACTCAGTTACCTACAAAGCTCACGTCACTGATGGGGTGGTCATGAGACCTTGCTGAATGATTTCCTTCTGAGTCTCCTTGCTTCATTAACTGTGTAGTTACACTGATTTGTGGCCATTTAAATTCGTTATTTCCTAAAGTAACCTTAAGCAATAAATAAACCAATGTTTGCTTTTACTTTCTTACTTTGATGTCACAGTGTAGCTGGAATATGTTTAGAAAATAGTGCTTGAGTGAAGCAAGGGAAAAAGCAGAAATGGATAGAACTTGAAGTGGCAGCTTCTTTATTGCCACATCTAGATATAACAAACCTTATTAATTGTGTTATTTTCTCTAGACACTGTATATCCTTTTTGTAAAAAAATTTTTTTTGAGCCAACATTTGCCACACTTAATATTATTTTATCCTGACAAAGATTTTAGACAGGGTTGGTAGAAGTCTGGTTTCTTAGAAGAACAAAATGAATTAGAAATTTCAAGTGTGTACTCCTGGCAACACCAAGAGGAACCTCTGTCTAACTCTTGATTTTCTATTTGTTTCCCCTATAGACCAGAGCGGAGCAAGCTAAGTTTAGTCTCTCCCAGTGTACTAGTAACTCTTTCTCTTCTCCCTAAGTTCCTTAAGATCCAGACTTCAAGATTTTTTCTGGATGAGTAGAGCTAGAGATAGTTTTAAAATGAACTATAATCTCTAAGCCTACCTCCCCAAATTCCAAGGAAGAGCAAGGGTTTTCAGAAGAGCCTAGATCAGTTATGGAAAACCTTTCAGAGACTTGAGTGCCCAAACTGCAGCCCAAACCCACTTATTTTTCAGAAGGCCAAAACTGCAATTAAACCTGAGGTTTAATTCATACTGAGGTTTTAGTTTTTAAAAAAGCAACTCTACACTAACAACTTTTGTCTTGAGAAAAACACAATAGCACACATGCCGTAGGTTTGCCACTACTGCTCTAGAGAGAAAGAACCCATAGAACCCTCCAGAAGGAAGCATTTTAAGGGTCTGGCCTCGGGAAAGGCCATCTGCTACAGGCAGAGATTTGAAACACTCTGGCAGGCCCACTTTGACCTGGGAGCCCTTGAGCTGGTTCCTTATCTTGGCCTTATCTTGCTTGGGGCTGCACTGGGCATTTGGACCAAAGGTGGCCTGACCATGAGTCAAACTCCAAGTTCACTGCTCCAAGAGACTTCTCATTCCTGCCCATCCCCAAGAGGCTGATATGGCATGTGACCATTGTGTCTTCTCTGTGAGTTGATAATGGAAATGACTTGCCATCAGCCTTTGCAACTGCCCATGGCAGCCAGTGGTAGCTGGCAGAGCATACTTTCCTATTTGAAAGACGATTACTGTATCCTGATATGTTTTCTGAGATCTTTTTCCCCATGGGAAATGCTGGAACATATTTTGTGCCTTGTTCATTTGCTGTGACATGTGTCATTGACTTCCAATCTCTGACATGTCTCTTTGTTTTCTGTGTGTTGCAGGCAGCATAGTGTACCTCGGGATGATGGTGGGGGCGTTCTTCTGGGGAGGACTGGCAGACAAAGTGGGAAGGAAACAGTCTCTTCTGATTTGCATGTCTGTCAACGGATTCTTTGCCTTCCTTTCTTCATTTGTCCAAGGTTATGGCTTCTTTCTCTTCTGTCGCTTACTTTCTGGATTCGGGTAAGGTTTTCTCCTTCATATTTTATAGTAATGTGTTATTCATAATTGTGCATGTGCTTCCCCATAGAGAACTTCATTACCAAGGAATTATCTCTCTTTTTTATTATACTGGAAGTTTAACCCAGTACTGAGTTAGACTTCACCCTGAGCTACGTCCAAGCCTTTCCATCTTTTAAATTGTTTTTAAAATTTTATTTTAAGGCAGAGTCTCACTAAATTGCTAAATTGCCCAGGTTGGGTTCAAACTTGTTATCCTCCTGCCTCAGCCTCCTAGAGTGCTGGGATTATAGGTGTGAGCCACCACTCCCAGTTCAGAAACTATCTTAATACATTTCCTCTTCTGTTTTTGTGTCCTCCTCACGAGCCACAGTGCTGGTTCTTAGAAATGTGATTATCAGCCTTTTGAATCTGGGATAGAAATAAAACATGCCTGTGTTCCCAAGGCCAGTGGCTTTATGTATCACTTCAAGGAAACTGATACTGTTTTAAATGGAATGCTATTTCCATACCAGAGCACATTTATATATGTGTTTCTTCTGAAATTTTAACTTAAGAAAGAAGTAGCTCTACATGTTATTATGAAGTAAAGATCCCAAACATTTAGAGATACTCTTAAATTCAGGGTTAGAGTGTCAAGTAACTGGGTTTATTGATCTGTGTTATTTGAATGCATTGAAAGAGGTATGAGATACACAGCCTGCTTCTTGAGACCTAAGTTCTTCCTGTCAGTTCTGCTGAATGAACAGAAGTTGTGCTACTCACCAGCTACAGTGGTGGAGGACAACCAGCCATGCAATCCTCTTTGAAAAGTTTGAAGCTCCACCCTAAGTAAACCCACTAGCTTGGGAAAACTCAATGGCTTGATTAGGAGAGTATAAGAAACTTGGTTTTAACTTTTAAAAATTATAGAAATATAACATTTCTGATTTATACTTGAGAATTTAGAGATACTATTTTCAAGGTGAGGCTGGAAACTATTTTTTTTTTAAATGTTTAATTGTAGAGAAGGAGATAGAGCTGGGTTATGAATTTGAGAATTTAGCAGTGGTGGCTGTTGATACCACATCACACCCTACAGAGCACAACACAGTGGTGAGAAGAGGTCAGGCAGCCCCAGCATGTCTTATACTCACAGTCCTGCCTCCTACAGCTCCTCATATTCTACACCGTGCACGTCATGGGCACTTAGCAAACATTTTACTGATTTGCACAGATTTAAGAAGGTTTCCTTAGAGTAAAGACAGCGCTTCCCACCAAGCAAAGGTGGAAAAACTTTAGGAAGATATAAAAATATCTGGTCCTTAAGTGGAAAAAATGGTCAGAATCAGTAATTTCCTTTGTGATGAGGGGTCTTGTCCCCAGCAGAGGACAATTTCTGTGAAATTGGCTTCATGCAGGGCTGACACAGTGAGTGTCTTAGTTACTTTTCTCTCATTGCTGAGACAAAACACCCAATACCCAAAGTTAAAGAGGAAAAGGCTTATTGCGCTCAGTTTGGAGAGTCTTCAGTCCATAATCAGCTGGTTCCAAGGCAGGGTGGTGTAGCAGACAGGAATTGCAGAAGAGTAACAGTTCATGGTGGGCAGAAGATAGCAAAGCAAGCAAGCAAAGGGAGAAGACAAGCCTCTTTCTGTCCCTTGTACTGTATCCAGGCTATGCGGACTAGAACGGTACCAAACCAATCAGTGGACTGATTTAGTAATCACCTATCCTTAATCCTAGTGCCCTTAGTCCTAGCATTGCACCATGAGTCAGTCACACAATCTAAATTCAGCCACCTCTGAAACAGCCAGTCTTATGACTGGATGAGGCCTTAGCGGAACATCTAAACCTAAGCCATAACAGTGAGGTATTTTGGATCATGAATTCATAGGCTTCAGCAGGCGCCAGTGTAGAAAGAATTGAGCTACCTAAAGAAGAACAAGTAGTTTTCAGGGCTATTTGTGAAAAGATCTTCTCAATGAGTGGGCATGGGACAACATATCCTTGTCACCTTTTATTGCCTATATAATACCACCAGCCTGTCAGGAGAAGGCTGACAAACTAGGACCTGAACTTTGGGTCCCTTCAGCTTGCAGTCTTCTCCAAGAAATTTCAGTGACATCCAGAGACCCAGAAGTATCTAACTGTGGTCAAATTGTTTAGGCAATTTTAATTCTGATTTGTATCGTCAACCCACTTGACTATAGAGAAAAGGGGCCATTATGGTAGCTGCAAAACACTCCACACCAGTGGCTGCCCAGAAGCTAATTTATAGGCGATATAAAACCAGAGCTTACTTGAGAGTATTCATATCATCCTTATCCCTATCATGGGAAGATTATCCTTCAGCCAGCAGATGAGGGCAGCTGAAAGCAAATGAACATAATTTACCTGGAAAAGCATGGGCTGGGTGTTGCTGACACAGGTAGGTACTATGAATTGTGATACCAGGGGATAAAGAACTGTAGCAACTTTGTGAAGTTGGCACAGGCCTGAAAAATCAAGACATCCAAGCACCCCTCACCCCTGCCTTCTGCTGTGGGGACTGGGAGTTCCTCAGATTTATGAAGGAGAGATCATATTCCCACCTTGCACTGGGATAAAAAGAGATAATGTTTTGGAAATACACGGTAGAGAAGAAAATGAGGGATCATGTTTAACATTCACCCATGGTTTGGCATTTCCTGTTCCCCCTATCCTCTCCCCCAGTTCGTGCAACTGGACTGTCTTGTGCTCTGTGCCTCAGTGTGACAGCAGAAGGCCTGGAACAGGGGAATCTTTCTTCCTGTGAAGTTCAAGCCTTGCCATGAGAGAAACAGAAAGGACTAGTTCTGGATGAAGGCTTTGAGAGAAAGCCCAGAAAGTAACATCAAAACTTGCTACTCTGCAGAATAGCGAGGGGTTTCCCAGGCCAGGGGTAGGACTGCGTGGGGATGAGATGTGAGCAGTCATCTGCAGAGTTTTGTGGGATGCAGCAGCTGAGGGAGGAAGCACATAAGAAATTAAATTTGAAAGAAATCTATTAGCCAAGGCCCTCCAGAGACACAAAACCAACAGGATGGATAGATATTTGGACAGACAGACAGACACAAACAGACGGGTGGGGATTTATTAGGAGAGGATGAGGGCCCTATAACTGGCTGCCTGCAAGCTGGAGACCAGGGATGTGGATACCATGGCTCATTCTAAGTCCAGAAGCCTCAGAACCAGAAAAGCTGAAAATGTAACATTCAGCCTGAAGCCAAAGGGCTAAAAGCCTGGGGAGATGGGGCACTGAAGATTTCAAAATCTACAGAATCTAGAATTCTGACATTTATGGACAGGAAAAGATGGGTGCCCTGGCTCCAGAGAGACTGGGCAGGTTCACCTTTTCCTCCAGCTTTTCCCATGTCCGACCTCAGGGTGCTGGATGGTGCCTTCACATTAGGACAGATCTTACCCACTGGGCTGTGAACTCACATACCAGTTGCTCTCCGGGATACATAGGAATAATGCTCCCCTGTTATGTCGGTTCCGGTAACGGGGGTCAATACTTCTAATCGGGGATTTATTCAGTACTGTCCCTGAGTCTGTGTAAAGTCTTCCCATCCTCCAGTTCCAATCCAATTCAACTACTCCTGAAACCCTGTCAGACTTCTCAGGGGTGTAGTGGAGACTCCCTCACGCTGTTGTTCTGGTAGCGGAAGGAAGGCACCAGAGCACTGTCCAAGCTTTGCTTTCCAGGGGAGGCAGATTCAGAGCCTCTCAAAGAAAGAGAAAACAATGACAGCACTGTGAATGAGAAAGCAATTTCCACTTAATGGCATTTCTTGCTTTTAAAGGCATATAATCCTTTATTCAATCTTTATTCCCATCACTTATGAACTCAGTGCGTAAGCAACAAAAATTGATTTGTTTGCTTTTATTTTGCAGACCTGGCTTAAACCCAGGTCTTTCACACCAAGCTACATCCCTAGCCTTTTTTTTAACCATTATTATTTTTTTTAATTTGGAGACAGGTCTCACTAAGTCACCAAGTTGAGCTTGCAGTCCTTCTGCCTTAGCCTCCCAGAGTGCTAGGATCACAGGCGTGTGCCACCACACGCCACTAAGCAGCAGAAGTTTGATATATTCCCTTTGTACTCGTATATTCTTTATTAGGACATAAGCCAGAGAATTAAAATTCTCCTGCTGGAGACTTTCAATAAAAGATCATTTTATATCTCCACAGTTAAGCAGCTCCCTCCACTCACATCTGGTCAGATTTTGACATTGAGGGAATGAGATGGTAGAAGAAATAAGGTTCCACAGGTTGGGGGTGTTTCACAGTGGGTCTCTGCTGCTCAGACCCTCCACGGTCCTCTGTCTCCCAGGAGCATAGTGCCTGCCCAGACCTGCACTTTGAGGTTCTGTTCCCAAGCCCTCTCCCTCCCCACCTTCAAGAGGGGTTTCCTGAGAGAGCTCACAGGGGCTCCACCGCAGCTCCATTTTGTCTCCTTGGCAGTACTTATCATCCATGCCTGACAACCCTGCCTCCCTTTCTTCCTTCCTTCCTGTTTCTTTGTTACCTTTTTCTCTTCCTTCCTTTCTCTCTCTTTCTTTCTTTCCTTCCTTCCCCTCCTCCTCTCTCTTTCTCTCCCCTTCCCCCCCCCACCTCCTCATCAAAGGCTTAGGATTCTGTCTCGTTCTGCACACGTTGCTTTCAGCATTTAAGGGTCACTGGTTTCAGGGCCTCATATAAAAGGCCTATAACTTACACACATCATGTATACTTTATTTTTTAACAGCCTCATAAAGGGACTTATTAGGCAGAATTTTAAAAGTACGCACTCAAAGAAATAGAACATGGACCCTCAAGCCTGCAGCTGGGAATATTTATGGGTTTTTTTGACAGTAGAAATGTGTAGAATATGTGAATCTATAGAAAGCTAAGGCTTGGTTTATTATAGGAGAAATCATGGCCGTCCACAGGTAGAAAGGTAAGGGCTCACTTTTCCAGGTGAAAGGATGGCACATTTCCTCCTGTAGCCTGGATGTAC